CATGCCGTAGTTTTCGCCTAGTTGATTTTGCCAAATAAACGCTTGTTCCTGCAGAACTGAGTCCTGTAACAAGGCACTCCTACGTTTTTCCTTCAAACACAAGGGTTTTGTGGTCAGTGTCCGGCCTGACCTTCCTTTGGCTGACGTAATGAGGCTACAGAAGGCTATCAAACGTCTTAAAACGCGCCGTGACGCCAGAAAGAATTCTTCAGTTGGTGTTTTTTCTAGTGGTGGGCTGGCTCTGCCAGTACCCATTCTGGTGGCGCGCGATCCCCATCGCAATGAGGCTGGATCTTACCGTGGTGCGATGGTCTGCATGCCTCAGCGATCCATTGAGCTGTGCTGGGTGCTGCTTTTTGTACCTTTAGTGTCACTCGTACCTGATTGGTCAGTGGTTAGAGGCCAGAAAAACTCAGTCCTTTCTAGGTTGGAGGTTGGTGTGAGGGTAGCTCTTTATTTTATACCACGCACTCCTTGTATCCTGCTGCCTTCCGGTTAGGTTTTCGAACCTAAGACTTTGGTCGGGAACCCTAATCGTGCTCATGTCTAAGCCTGGACAGTCTGACAGTACCATACCCACACAATACAACAAAATCGTCCCAAAACAACTTCTTGATTCTCTGGCCGTCGCAGAGGATAATCAGCAACAACCTATATACTGCATCGATCGGAATGGATATCAGTTTGGATGCTACTTCTCAACTCTTCCTCTCTTACTCTTTTTCACCCCTATCACCCCGCTCCAACTTTAACTTTTATACCCTTTCCCTTTTCAACTCCCCAATTCTTGGCCCCCACCTCGCTTTGATGGGCGTTTATTTTCTCTTTTCAGCTCACACGCAAATGCGGAGCTTAACTCATACCCTGTCGACAAGTCCATGTCTAACCAAGCGGACAAGCCCACTTCATCGGCTTCTATTTGCAGCCCTGGATCCTCCCTCAGACTGGCATGCCTCAACGTACGCCTATTGTTACCAATCAGTCAACAGGCAGTACTTGCCCGAAATTAGGGACCCTCTCGATTGATATCTGTTGCTTATCGGAAATCCGCCTGCAAGACTCGGGCACTGTGTTCATGCTGCGATCCCCTTCAAGTGGCACTAGCAGTGTTTTCCCACTGCGCCTATCCGGATAAGGTGCAGCTTTGAGTGCCGACCAAACCGTTGTGGCTATCGCCCTAGATCTCCGGACTGAATGGGCTTTCGTTGATTGGATCCAAATCAGTAACCGGATGTTTGTCGTCCGACTGGCTGGCTCATCCATAGCTTCGAAGTCGCGCTGGGCTGCTAGGTGGCAGTTTCTTATCGCTGTCTACGCGTCTACATATTGTAGCGCTGACTCGTTGAAAAACGACTAGCACAAACTGAACGTGCTTCTTCGTCACTACGGAAGCACATATATTGTGGTTCTGGATGGGGATTTGATCGCTTAAGTTGGAAAATTATTCACCGATGATCAGCATCTGCACGACCAACACGGTGTAGGCCCCCCGTAATGCTAACGGTGGGCGGTTGCTTCGTTTGTGTGAAGATGCTCGCCTATTTTTTGCGAACACTAACTTCCGGCACAGCATTCGCCGTAGGGTGACATGACCCTCACCAGCCATGGGCTCAAATTTATCACATCGCGATCGTTTACTACTGACCATGCGCTTGTATGTGCATAGTCTGTGGGTGTGTTTTGGCAGAAGACCGCGACGACGATGCGAGCCCATAGATACTTGTCAGTTGGCGAAGCCAGATGTTCTGAATGCGTATCGAGTGATCCTCATATCCAGACCGGCCCGTATTCTAGTGGATCACAAACCTGCCTTGTAATCCGAGGGCGCGGGTTCGAGCCTGTGTAGGGGACCGGGCGACCCTCGCTGTATCTGTAGCCCACGCGCGACTGTGAGTGGTTTCTCGGCGTATTGCCGATACACTTTGCATCCGAGCTGAATAAACGCACACTGAATACAGTTGAAGATCACGGGTCATAACTCCGTCAGACGTCATAATTAGCATGCATGTCCTCATGTGGTACCTGACAGCAACCTTGGACATGAGGGGTCTCTGCGTAGTCTCTGGAACTTTTGCTTGCTTACCTGCACATTGCGACTGGAAGCGAATACTATGAGACTCTCAAAGACCTCAGTACGAAACCACGTACTAGCCTGAAGATAGACTGCGGATCCTGGCGGTCTCATCATGCGTCTGTAATAAAAGCGGCCGCTGCTCTTGTTAACCATCATCTACGGCTACAAGGAGAACTGATGTTATTGAGACCACAACTTGTCAAAATACTTAGAACTTTGGCTGAACGCTTTGAGAATGAGTTTAATCAGCCAGTCACCACTTTTTCTATTGGTCATTGATTGTCCTTCTCCCGGTGTCGCCCTCTTGGATTCACCCTTTTGCTCAGAGGTCCATCGTGAGGTCGGATTGTTGAAATTGAACAAGTCTGCGGGACCCCATGTTTTTCCTCCACCCCTCTTCAAATTCAGGAGACCTGCTCTTGTTGATGATTTATACGAGTTACTAGTGAAACTGTAGGAGCAGTAAACTGTTCCTACCGACTGGAGCTGCTCCGTTATTGTTCCGATCTTCAAAGGAGGCTCGCGTTCGGAATGCGGCAACCATAGAGAAATCAGTCTGATCTACCTCGCCCTCAACATGCTTGCCTCTGTCACCCTTCACAGACTGACTGGCGCTCGTGAAAGCCAGCTTCTTGGCAAACAAGTCGGTTTTCTTCGAGGTCGGGTTTGCATCCATCACATCTTCATTTTACGTCATTTGTTGAAGCACCGTCACATATATTTGAGGGTCCATGGTTGTCATGTTCCCCGACATCAAAGCTGCCTTCGATTCGGTTGATCGGTATGTTCGGGACTATCTACTCCTGAAAGGTGTGTCCGAGAAATATTTAAATATTATTCGAGCGCTTTACTCGCATAACTCGAGGAGAGTGAGGGCTTACGGCAAGCTGTCGCCGCCCATCATCATCTTCAATGGTGTAAGACAGGGATGCCCGCTGTCCATTTTCCTCTTCAACTTTGCTATTGATGAAGTCATGGAAATCGCGTTCATTAGACACGACTTAAGTGTGGATCTGCTCCCAAATGAACGACTTCTTAGCTTGGGGTATGCTGGCGACATTGCAATGATCTGTTACAACTCACAAATGGATCGAGCAACGCTAGCTGTCAGCCGTTTTGGGCTTTGCTTTGCACTCTCGAAATGCGAAGCTATCCTTTATCATCATCATCATTGACAGCAGTACATCAGCCATTTGAACTGATGCTTCGCTGCCATACAATCATGAGGACCTATGAAATAAAGAATAAGAAGAGGGAGAGAAGAGGAACTTACCTGAAAACCTTAATGCCCTAAGCAAACATTCAGGGTCAAGGCGCCTACACCTTGTGTAGACAACATACCGTCACAAACAGCTGGCTATCATGCAAAGATAGGGCGGCATCGGCGAGACAGTTTCCTTGCGGCTCTCACTGCCCCGCGCCATAATCAGCCATTACCCCGCAGATAACTCAGCACCAAACACACTTTAAACAGACAATCCGATTAGAAGACGGTAGCAGACGCGCCACTGGTGTCTACTGCGAGCCATGACCTGTAAAGTCTCGAGCCAAGCACAAGGTGAGTCACGTGGACTCCAACCCGGAAGGCGCGACGGACCAACGGCACCCAGTTTGGTCGTCAGTGACTTCATTTCCCGTTGCCAAGTCAACTTCTGTCCACAATCCTTTAAGATTGCCAGGGACCGCCTCCTGCGCTGACTCAGTGGGGATCAAATTGCAGTCATTCAGAACTTCAACTGCATATTCAGTTGTGTCGGTGCTTGTGGAATTGAAGACGAAGTAACGAACCGTATAGCGAAAGCTCGAACTGGTTTTAGTAACCTTCGCCACATATGGCGCCTGCGCGACATCATTCTCTCCTTGAATGGTAGAGTTTGCAACGCAGCTGTATTTCCGATTATACTCTACGGTTGTGAATCTTAACCCAATAGATCGGCAAACATAAATAGGCTAGTTACCTTCGAGCACCGGCGCCTTTGCAGTTTGATACATATCTGGTGGAAACAATATATGAGCAATGAGCGTCTTCGGCGACTTGTTTATGGTGCAGGAAGAGCGAGTGAACCGCACAGCACCGTTATTTCACGCACCAGGTTCCGTTGGCTGGGTCACGTATTGCGCATACCAGCACAACGATTCGCGCGACGTACATTGTTTGCGCGCCGGGGGTGTGGATGAAAAAAGTAGGGGAGGCTAAGCAGCGACTTTATCAAGTGCAATGAAGCCCCTTAGTTCGAAGTTTGCCTCAGTTGAAGCCTTCTATCGTTGGGGCCTGAAAAACGGCGAACACGTTTGGCTGGATACACTTGTTTACATGACTAGAAGTAGACCTCGGTAGCGATTATGTTTTGAGTTTCTTTTCCCCACTCCAACCACATCTCATTTCGGATGCATTATGTGACCCTTTTACGGCTCAGTAGTTGTCTGGTAGCTCTCCGGGACGATGTCCATTATTTTCTGCTGGCTCAGCTGGCTTGCCTCTGTTGCGTCTATTTTTTCTGATATATTTCGGCACAATGGCGAAGGTGTTTCCCATCTCAACTGACTTGTATGCTGATATTGAGTCTGTACGCTAACGGAATCATCACTCATTTGTTTTTTCATGCAAATGACTGTATCTTCTTTTGTCTTCCCGTATTTTGTCTATTTTACATGACTGGCACAGCATGGACTTGTGGTGCAGGCAGCTTGGGTGATAACACGTTGGCCACTATGTGCTTCGTATGTTTCGTTCTAGATCCATCACAACCACAACACATCAATTTCTTGTTCACCGATCTACTCAAGAAGGAACACCCAATCGTTCCAGACCAACCTGAGGTTGGATTAGCAAATATTTGACCTATAACTTTGATACGCCATGTCTATAGTTTATGGTCTGATGGTTTCTTCCTTCGTCGCCTTGACGCTCCTTGACGTCTTTTTCAGCTTTTTATCCGAAAATTTACCTGGAACATTATGCCTAAAACCATCGTTTTGGATTCCTTTCGTTACCTAACGAGTGAGGCCTGGAGGGCCCTTTTGGCAGTACGTCTATGCTTATTTTAAGCAATATGATAAAAGGTTGAAATGGGCATGAAGAACCACGAAGTTGTCCCTATTGAGCTGATTCAAAAAATATCCCGATGTCGACGAACTGGTTCAGGATTCACGAGACTTGTCAAAGACCAACTAATACCATATGGACTAGTCGCCTACTCTTGTGATCAGAAAAAAGGTAAATCAACCCTGCTTTACATTTGCCTTACGATGTCCATGATCTTATTTGCGTGCAGTGCAACGATCGTTTTGCCATTATACTCTGCTAAACATCCTTGCTTGCCAATGCAATCACTTGTTCTGAAGGCGAACCAATCCATGTGTCTATCCTTCTCTTAGCTGTCTCAGGGTACCGCCTCACAAATTTGGGCTACGACTACTTGGCGTTGCACCAGCTTTTTAATTCTGGTCAACTCTGTGATGTCAATTCGATGATCGGAGCCGGAAAGGAATCAGACGTTTATTTGGCTTCAGCTGGGGACAATTGCGGTGTTTGGAAGGATACAAACCTCAAAAATGACCGTGAAAACGTCCCTCTGGTGGAATCTGGCCAACCAGTCGTTATTAAATTCCACCGTCTCGGTCGCACTTCTTTCAGGAAGGTGAAAGAAAAGCGTGACTATCACCAACACCGAAACACATGTTCCTGGTTGTACCTCGATCGCATAGCATCACAGAGGGAGTTCACTATGATGCAGGTAGGATAACTTTTGTTGTATATTTGGTTTAGGCCCTGCGCTCTAATAGGGTGGAAGTTCCCGTCCCTCTAGCGCATAATCGCAACGCCGTCGTTATGTCCTACATAGAAGAATCTGTTCAGCTTTCGCGTGTTCTACCGTTTTTACTCAAAGCTGCGGATGGGTTGCTCGCGAGACACTTATATGTGCAGGCGAGAGAAATGCTGCATCATATGTGTTCAATCGGGCTTATTCACGGTGACTTCAATGAATTCAACTTGATGGTTGTTGGACTCCGAAATGTTGACCTGAATACGATCACAAATGTTTCCATTCTCAAAGTGACTCTCGTTTTGATTGATTTTCCCCAAATGATTAGTCGAGATCATCCTCTGGCAGAAAGGTGAGTACCTTTTCACTTAAATGTGAGCTTGCAACTGGTTCTCACCACCTCTCATGCATCATGAAATACTTATCTACCCAAATATGTGCTTGTCCCCGCCTTGTTACAGCCATGCGGATATTAAGAGAACCGGGATCAATAGGCGAATATTTAGAATGTGGATGATATCTGTAGTTGGATTACGAACCTTAGTCTTCAATGTAACCTCTGGAGTCTAGACCAACTGGTCATCGCGCGGACTACACCATCTGCTCATGAAGAAGTCTATGAGCATGCAATCAACTAGACTGTTCTTCAAAGTGTCCCGCCCAACAAGCGATATGGCATTACTTATTGTGAATTAAGGTGTTTGTGCTGTTTCGGTGGATCACTGCCGTGTCAGGTACTCTGTTACGCCAACCAACATGCGAAATCCGACACAGGCGTTACTGCTGGGGTCACTCAAGATATCAAATATCCTCTCTGTATGTCCTTCACATTCCGTTGCCATAGAGAAATACTGACATCACCAACGATTTGCGCGCAATCATCTTGTTTCCAAAGTCCATCTACAGGCAAACAGCCACTACACATCCAGGGGAGCGCTAGTCTAACTGCGACGAATCTTCACAAAACTCAATACATCTCTCTACTACTTGCAAATAATCAGTAGTCGCCTTAGCAGCTTACATGTCACCTAGCTTGGTGGCGACTTGCAAAGGAAGTCATTGCTCCAGAAGCCATCACGTTCATAACATGCACGACAGTGGAGGATGAGCCGCGCTATATCGCAGTTAGGTATCAGTCATGGCGGTCCGTTGCCGTCTCCCATGGTTTAGTGACATGTCGCTGGCTCGCAAGAGTAAGGTCGTGTGTTCGAATCCGGCAGGATTCGGTAACTGCGTGCTACTGACGAGTCCTAATAGGACGAGACGGCCGTCTCTCGCTTTCCTGGATGTGTAGTGGCTGTCTGCCTGAGTCTGACTGCGACGAATCTGCACAAAACATATATGCCTACCAAGGCATCCAAACTTGACAGACATCAGTCAAAACGCCTCACAGCCCATCTTATCAAGTGCCTTGTTGAAGCTGACGAACAGCGAGTATAATGGTTCGCTCTTGTTCGTTGCACTTATTCTGCCGTTGGCGGGATGCAGGCACCATATCGATCGTACTGCGGTCCGAGAACAGGTCATCCGCAGCACGCCGGCACATCGTACCGACACTTCACTGCCCCTCGACCGCAGTCAGTCGCGCCTAGGCTAGGTGTACCGCGAGGTCGTTCTCACCTACGCGGATCCGAACCTACGAACTCCGGATTGCAAGGTCCTTTGGCCACGTGGTCCGAAAAGCCATGTGTTATTTGTTGTTATTCTTGCGATGTGAGTTGTGGCAACTGGATCCACCCCACTTCAATGCTCGGATCATAGTTGATCAACTGAACTGTTCAGCGCCGTACCCAGCTCACGCAGCACACGCGTCTTGCGCAATTCCCACATGGCACACTGACATATAATGACACAAACGACTACGTGTGGCCGCTCCGTGGGTGCGTCTAAGTATCAATATTGGAAATTGTGTCCAATCGTCAGGCCTTGAGTGACGCACAATAAAAGCAGGCGGTCACCGTCCCCATTGGCTAAGCCAATAGCTTGAGTCCGGATTATGTCTGCCTATACCGTAGCATCATGTCCAACGCGCCAGTCCAGCTCAGCCAGTAGAAATAGTCGGGCGCTCCTATGCACGGATGGTATAATTGGTCATTCCTGTCATCAGGATGACACGTGATGCGATCGTACATTTTAATGAATTTTGCAATGTTGCTTAGACGACACACCACCAAACGTAAGCTAAAGCCAGTCGGTTCTTCTATCAGGTGGCCATTTAGGCGGTCAGATCATGCTAACCTGACTCCATGTTTACGTGGTGCTGTGGTGGCGTTTCCTATCCATCCTCACATAGATTACCTTGGTCAGCGAACTTCGGCAACATCAATGCCGTAGCAACCAAGTTCCATCGCAGTCAGTGCGGTGCGTCGTTCGGGGCGCTGGCTTGTGTTCTGGTCCAAGAGTATGCGCGCGTTCCGGCACCCGATGTTGATCGCTTTCTCGGAAGCATACGATTGCACCGGGCAATGGCTCGGGTGGTGAGTTGGAGTAGTGGTTAGGACTGGTAGGGTGGATCAAGTGAACTGGGGACTGGGAGGGGAGAATGTGGAGGAGAAGGGAAAGAAAAGAGACGCCAGCGGTACGATATTTTCCCTAATCACCTTCGCTATATGCAGCGGATATCCAATGTAAACCCGAAGGAATAAGACCGGCAGGCATGTGGATGGAAGCCACGTATCATCCACGGAGCCGGCCCACTCTCTTTCGATATGCACAGCATTAACATTCCTGTCTGTATAATTTGGAATCATGCGTACCGGACGTATACGAGGCGGTGGATGGGCCGTAGCCAGTTACACACTGGATGGAACCACTCTTTGAGCCTAGCACGGTCACGGATACCATACACCTCGTCTCCCCAAGCAACGGTCAAGTGTCTCCTATAGCCAGTATAATCGAAGTAGCGGTTTTTCGATAGGTAGGCACATTATCAGCATTCACATGAAGAGCAGCCACACCGGACATATCAATCAACAGCCAACACCGGAAATGCAAGAAAATCAACACAGAGACGCATGTACTGACCAAATGCAGTGATGATGTAGCACACCTACCACGTCGACGGCATTAGTGATCTGGGTTAGTAAATTGAATCGGAAGCAGCGTAGTTACCAAGCGCTGCGCTGATGACCACGTCCTTAGCTTACTCTTAGTTGTTGCTCCCACCTGGCCACACTGATAGCTTGAGAAGTTGGTTTGGCTGAGGCACTCGCGACCTCATATGCTACGGCGCTTACCTATCCCCTTTCGTTGCGTTTCGTTTCCTCATACAATGGTGCTTCATCCTGCACCTTAACAACCGCTCTGCTGACAAGCTCACACCACTGGCGCCGATTATCTGAATCTGATTCCAGACATGTGAAATCAACATTTGTTCGTGATAAACTCACCTTGATCGTATACTGGTAACGTAACTTCGGCTTTCTTACATGTCGCTTTCCTGCTCCGATTTTTCCATTTAGCAGCTGCTTTGGTATCCGCGTAGAACCCATGCATCTCATATGCCCGATCCACCTCGGGTACCGCAACAGAAATATGCAGTCTAATGCAATGTGGCTCAGCACTTCCGTGCCAGCAACTCGGCCATCCCAGCCGATACCCATAATTCGATACAGGCACTGTTGATAGAAAGACTCCAGATATCGGGCGTCCTTCCAGTAAAGCGTCCAGGTTTCAGTGCTGCATTGGAGAAAGAACAGAATCATCGACTGGTATACTATTAGCTTCGTCCCGGTGGTCACCTGACTATTGTTCCGCACCCGATTCTTCAGCTTTCCAAATGCGACTGCCGCTTTCGATTCACGGATGCACAGCTCGCTCGCTTGCCGTGGCTCGACAGACATTACACTCATAAGGTGGAAAATTTGAGGAGTGGTTTCCAAAACGTCATCACCGACTTAGTTTTGCGGCAAGCATACGGATTCCATTTCTTGTGTGGTCTGAAAAAGACAGTCTTACTTGTTTTACTGTCCTGTCCACGTGGTTTTGCGGTACGCGGATCGAGTGATCTTACCATCTGGATTCCTTTTCGGGCTCACATCCAAGAAATGGAACGTGTCGTTTGTTTCCTTTTGCATCGTAACTTTGAGCAATGTATCGACAAATAGATGGCGTGGCCATGGGCAATCCCTTTTGGGCCAGTCCTGGCTGATATTCATGGGACACCTGGAGAAAACTAAACTTCGCCCTTATGTACAAAACATGCACTTGTATGCATGTTGTTGTCGTTGATAGCGCTCAACAGCTAGCAAGTCTACTTGATGCTATGAATCCGTGCTATCTCTCGATCAAATTAACGACGGAAATTGAAACAGGCGACACTTTCAATTTCTTGGATGTGAGCCTGTAAAGGAATCCAGATGGTACGATCACTCGATCTGTGTAACGTAAGTCTTACTTGTGTTTATGGTGAATCCGAACTCGACCGTTGTCGAATCGTGAGCTGCCGCTATACGCTACAACTCCACCCTATGTGCAAACAACTCACAGCCGTCGACATACAAATGGCTGTCTCGCACACTAGAGTTCTCTCCTCGGGACGGTGGATGGTCAGCAACCCGTCATCAATAAGGTGTTCCCCACGGACACCGTAATCACAACCAGCATCAAAAGCACAAGATCTCATAGCATTTAAGTAACTACTACATATAGTGGGGGCTAAGACAGCCTTGCTTCACACCAGAGACTACGGTGAAGTCATCCGAGCTTTGTCCACTCAGCTGCACTCTCGCCTGCATACAACTCTGCAGACATAAAAATTAAACTTACAAACTTACTCGGACAGCCAAGCTTACTCGGTACCAGACATTATGTCTCGCGGTTCACCGTGTCGAATGCTCTGGCAAAGTGAACAAACAGCGAGTACAAAGACTGGTGTCGCTTTCTGCATTTCTTCTACGACTTACGTGCCGCGATTCTCATATCTATGATTCCGCGGTCCGAATGGAATCCACACTGCTCTTCCGCCACGTGCGGTTCAACGACTTGAGTGACCAGGCGGCTGAACAGGATTCGGATGATCACCTTCCCTACGATAGTTGATGCCACGACAATTCGTACAACATTGCTTGCTTTCTTTGTTCTTGTACAGTGGTAGCACAAATGTATCCTTCAAGTCAACAGGCACCTCTTACTTAAACCACACGCGTTGCACCAAGTGGTGCAGCGCATGTTTTAACGCGTGTATGCCGTGTTTCAAATCTGGCTGTATCCCGTCGGCTCCGGGGCACTTGCCGTTTCGCAGCCAATTAAGTGTTCGCGTTTCATGCATTGTCAGTATATCGGCAACGCACACCTCCATCTCGTGCTGTTGCAACTTGTGCAACCTAAACCAGTCCATCTCTGAACCGATGTACATGAGCCAGTCGAAGTGCTTACGTCCGATCTGCATTCTATTTGCAGTCTATCTATAGGCAGCGCCTGAAGTTGCGCCTACCAGCGTTCTTTTTGGCTGCCTTAACGGAGTCAAAGAATCTTATATTGGTGGCATTCGGTTTAGCATTCCATCTGCTCCACCTTCTCCATCCACCAAGCATTCTTAATGCGACGGAGCTCTCGAATCAGTCACCGTCATAGTTCGCGAAACTGACCCTTCTTCTGCGAGTCGGCAGTGTCCACCGTAAGTGTAGTGATTGATGCATTATTTCTCCATACACCAATGCGCCAATCGTCACACCGTTGTCATCAAACCAATCGGAACGTTTACAGTTTGAGCGCCCTATCGTTTCTTCCGCCTCAACCGTCACCTGTTCACGTATGTGACACCACAAGTCACCGACTGATGCGCTGCATTCGACATCACTTTCTCCATATCCGTCCAGTTCTCAGTAACATCTAGAGTGAGAACGTTAACTTTGCACCAGTTCATGGCAGGAGTGCGATACATAGATTTACCAAATTGTATGTGCAGTTTGGTGCGCGCCAACTTATAACCCGTGCCACACTCAGCTCCACGCACTGCACTCGTGTGTCACGCCGGCGCACGATGTCATAGTCGAACGGGCGAACGTGACCACTCTGCGGCTACGTCCAAATGAGTGCATCACGCGTACGTGGTGCAAACTGTATGTTTGTGGTCAACAGGCTTTGAGTGGCGCACGGTGAGAGCAACCGGTCACCGCTCCCATTGGCTGTGCCAATACTATACGGACCGATGGCGTCTGTCCATACTGCTGCATCACACCGAATACACGCAGTTGGAATAGCCGGTGGTTCCTCGGCACAAAACGTAACATGGAGGACACTGGAGTGTAAAACTGATTCCCCGTGTCAGGATAAAACATAGTGGGCCCGAACGTGCTAATTAAAGTGGCAAATTTTCTGCCTCCGAGACTCAGTCGAAGAGCCACAGTCGTAGGCTGATGATAGTCGGCTTACCCATCAGGTGGCCATTTAGGCCATCGGATAATGCATATCTGCTTCCATGTTTAATTGGTGCTGTGGTGACAAGTATCTTTAGTCTCATGCGGTGGCTTAGTTCTAATGCCCCTTCGACTTTCTCTTGAAGTGCAGCTAAGGTTCTCCTGGGTTGACGACTGTCTACGCAAATTCACCAAGATGCTCTGCTTGCTAAACTGAGGTGATGCTATCTGAACTGTAATAGTTGGATCTATTTCTCATTTAAATCTGTCCTAAACTCGGTCACGGTACACAGTATTTTCCGCGTCACCGGTCCAGCTTCTTTTGTGTTTCTCACCATTTTTAGCAGGCATGAAAATGACCGCGTATCATGACCAGCTGGGGCGATTCGATCATAGTGGCGATGTTCAAAGAAGAGTAGTCTCCGTGTTTGCACCAACCGCGGTCACCGACTTGATGCCGACGATAGCAGTTTGTTGTCCCCTCCTTATATGCAGGAATTCTCTATGGTCACTGCACCAGTAGTGTACCATTAGCTTGAGCCGATCATCCTCTGTCGTGTTCCCCCAGATTGTTTTTTTTCTAGCTGGGATACTGCATGGTCACTCAAACTCATGCAAGAGCGGTGACCTAAACCGCGGGTATAGAGTTTGCAAGCCAGACGCATTGTCACTATACTATAGATCCTTATAGTCAACATGTTCTCATTTGGGGTAGGGAAGTACTGTAGGTCCTAACTTCTATCCTATGTCAAGTGCCAAAGTAACCTCTTAATACCTCACTCAGTCTCAGTGCGTCATGCTGCGCGTAGAATCTCGTAACAGAGCAACTTTTTAACAGGCAGCATGAAATTAGACAAAATACGTTTGCACTTATCACTTACTAGTTACTCGCGATCACGGAAAGCCTTAGGCAGCATGGTCGTCAGCTTTGACCGCGATCAAGTGGGTCATATCATGAGTGATTTTTACCTCTGCCTCATAAACATAAAACTACTATTCAAATATATTGCTGTCATCTTAGTGCTATCCAGAATCCACAAAACTCGCTTAGCGTACAAGCCATTTTGGTTTATCAGATGACGTAGGCCTTGAAAAATATGAACGTCTACATGTATCCTTTTAAGGGATGTGATGGGTACGCAGAATAAAATTGGGTGTTGCCCACCCGAAAACACTGCGAGAAACACTCAATTTCCATCTGCTTTGATTACGGTCCCAGTGACCGCAGTGACCAAGGCTCAATTCGATGTGAATCGCGGTCCACACTGAGATGGCGCGTCGTACTCCAATCACACAACATGCAGTCCAAAGTTGGCCCTCCAATTAGAATAAAAGGCGTTTATGGGAACTACTTGTCCCAACTCATATTTCAGCTCAAGGCTACCAGTCGATGGCGTTGTAGAGCCTGTTCGCGTTATGCAGCCATCTTGGTTTGGGCCTTCACTACACATCATTTCAGTGGCTAGAAGCATTTTCTGACGGCGCGATTAAGAGGTTGGCCGGGTTCCTTGCGTTTGCTTCTATTCTTGAACCGCAGATACTCTTACTTGGCCATGCTGCTGTTTTCAGTCTTCCTTTAAGTTAGCAATTTTTGACGTTTCTCTCTTCCTTACTTCCACTGTTGTCTCACCGGCGGCGGCACGTGCTACAAAAACTAAACGCATCTTGTTTGGGTCCTCGGGTCAATTTTGTCTGGCTAAACACCACTAAACCTTTTAGGAGTATTGATTACAAATGTGTACGTTGCGTGCTTTTAGTGTGCTGGTTGCTCCTTACTTGGGAATGTTTCTGGCTATCTATACCCGATTTCCTTAAGGATGAATTCAAAAGATATAGTGCTAGTTTTCTATATATGAACCGCTGTTATTCATTCAGAACACTCTCCTCATATTGTCAGTTGGGTGTTTCAGGGTCGCCCTGTTCTAGCGAATGGTTCGGTGGCAGTTTTACAGAACGTCAGCGTTTTTTCTTGACAACACTGCGACTTGGCGGATGTTACTCGCCGCTAGCTAAAGTCACTGCTCCTTGTTTCACCCCGTAAAGCATTGTATTCCATCAGCCCGCTGCTGACTTCATGGATAGGATTAGGCCCCTGTTTGCCAACTGATCAGAGGAAGAGATTATGAACCGAACATTCCGTCACCGGCTCCCGTTGGCTTGACTTCGCTCTGAGTACTTGCGGTTGAACTGTTCGGTCAAAAGTTCTGGGTGGCGTCCCTTAAGCCAACTCTCTACCTCGGCTTGGGCAACCGGGTAGTATCGCGACCTCTGATAAAACCATGGATTTTTCTGTGTTGTGTTCCGTCTTCTTTTTGCGATAACTCATTTTTTCAGGGGCTTTATAGGTGTTCGTAAAATCTTAAAAATACTTATATGCCACGCGGAATATCGTTTTTCTCTCATATCGCAAGCAATCTTTTAACGAGATGACATTTACACTTCATGTCCTCTTGCATTACACTGCTGGCGTTGCTAACCACGTCGTTTTTGTTTGTTTGTAACCGTGATTTTTCCTCAGCATTTATCAACGAGACTCAGAGTGTATCGTGCACTTCTTCAGTCGGTATTTTGAAATTCCCGAAGGTGATCTTCCTTCTCCTCTCAGCGAAGTTAAGTAAGTTATCTCACGCTTTTTCCATCCTTAGTTCACTCACCTTTGGTTCCCTTCCTCTATTTTTGTGCAGTTCGTTGTTGTTCTGACCATTGAATTCTGGCATTTGAGTCATAGCCCTGCCAGCTGCCACCGTCCATTTATTATTGCGCTCCAACCGGTGATTTTCACTTAGTTGATGGCAGACCAGGTACTTGATTCAGTACTTGGTAATTCTTCACCTCAATAATTTCCACTAGTTGTCTTTATCCGAATACCATCTAAGCTGAGATGGAATTGTGGTACGACAGCATAGGAAACACAGGGTATGGAATTTTGACTGCGCAGACGAAGTAGGTACCGTGCTTGGTAGATCCAGTGTGTAATGGGTTAGAGAGTAATTTAGAATCTTGGATGAACCTTTGGTACATGCACCCAAGTGTTTGCTAACGATAAAGTCAACGAAAGACCTTATTTACTCTCCAGTGTATTCATTGCCACCGGTAGTGAAGTGGATATTTCTGTAGGAGTGTACGTTGCGTTGTGGAACTGGGTTCATTTATCTGAAGCCACCGTTCGTCAGCGCTTACCCATGTTCCGGTGGCTAATATCAGCCTATAAGCTTTAGGCCTTAGGTGAATTATCTCCGGAGGAGGAAGAAGGAGACGCGCTTATTTTACCACGGTTTTTGATCTACCTTTTTCACTTCTAGCCGCACAGCCCATGTTGACATTGATGTAAAGGCTCCAGGCTATCCGTGCAAAAACCGAAGCCGGCGGAAGCCAATGCCAGCATTTTCAGAAATGTTACTTGGCTGTACTCTTCGACGAATTTCCACCGAACTTAGCGACACGGATTCGGAATCCACCCAGGGGGATGCATCCGACAATAGCCTGAACAGTCTTGAGGATGAAGAGGAGAAAGATGAGGTGGGATCGGAAGATAGCTGGCAGACTGCAACTGAAGTGCTTATAAGTGAGAATGAAGAAGGCGGTTTAGGTGCCACTGTGAGCAAATCAGTTGATAATGTCTTGACAGACGGAACCACTGACGATGAGGTATCTGTGGCACATTTACAATCGGAATCCGATGTTGGCATCACATATTTGGACCAAAAATCAAAGCAAACAGAACTTACTAATCCCAAGGTTAGTTTGTCCTTTTGATTTTTGCCTCAGGCACTCGGCGGCTTTTACTTTGCTGTTCTAAGTATACAAACTTTGAAGCTATCTGTTGATGATGCTACTAAATTTTTTGACTTTTGATAGTACGCCTTTTCTGGTCTGCTGTGTAGACCTCTGCTTAAAGCATCTTTGAAATTTTAAGCTAACGGGGGATATGTGAAGCTATGTTTAGTTTAGATTACCCCCACAACACTTCAGTTTACCTTCAGACTGGGTTTCGAAATAAGTTTTTACTCGGGAGGTACCATGTCGAGTCTATGAATCTTCCTGTTCAAGTGAACATGGATTTGTCGCCTCCGGCTATTCACAACTGGGACCCGTGTTCCAATCCGGCAACTGGATACTGAAATTAGCGAACTAGTAGACATGCGTCTGTGTTACTCCACCTTAATTAGTTTGGGCACGTGCACAGAGCATCTGACGCATATTACAGCTATTCCATAGGGTGCGATGCGCTTGTAGAGCCGTACTCAGGCACTGGTAGTGACAATTACCAGCAGGACCAACCACAGACACCGAGTATACATAAGTGAACGTTACCGGACTTAACGTCTATTGTAACGAGCTACAAAGAACTGGAAGTCATTTAGCGAAGCACGGAGCGATGAACCGCACGACTTACAGTGAAATCGCAAGTGAACGAGAGCTACCTACGAGTAAATCAAGTGGACGGTTGAAAGATACAAACAAACATAAAATCCATTGTCACGAATGCTGAAGGCGTAAATGTTTCACCTTCACTACACGCTCCCTGTATCTGACATCCACAAAATGAGTGTCTCCGAATTGCTTGAATTCCTACACCGATTTCGCCTCGATGATTTCCTCGGGAAAACTGTTCCAAAACTTCACCATTCGGTGCTCGAAGCACAGAGGGTGAGCTATCCGCCTTAGTTCCGGTACAGCTAGATTGCACCGGTGCTCACGAGTGCTACTTGATACACGGACGCAAAGCATTGGCCTCAGCACGGGAAAGTGACCCAGTTGCAATATCCATTGCGTCAAAATGAGGTCAACTCTAAATGGATGATACGACAGGGAGTACAGCCATAGTCGTCTGCATCGGTCTTCGTACGACACACATCGTAAACTGGGGATGAGCTTGGTAGCCACATGCTGAACACGTTCCGCTCTTTGCACCTCGCCACGGGTTATCGGACAATAGGCGAGTGATCCGTACTCGAACATCGGTCTTATGATGAAAGGGAAGAGGCGCGTGGAAGTCTCTTCGGATCGAATGCAGAAGCTGCGTTTGCGCGCCCAAATCATGTGCAGTCCGTTGTCATATAGCTTGTTAACGTTGTCTACGGACCTCATGTTGCAGTGTGAGAGTACGCCGAGTTGCTTCACGGAAGGTGTTGGATGTATCGGTTGGTCGGCTAGAGTGTACCTACGCCCACCAACATTCTTCTCCAGGCTCATATATGCCTATTTGACTGGGTTAACTGGCAGGCCCATACCTGCGAACTAGCTGGACAGGTCGAGGTCATGCTGAAATACGCCACAGTTATTGGGAATATCAACTATTCTCCAACTCTTCAGGTAACGACGGCATATGTTTAGGCTTGGACAACTCCGTGGCCCTTTGTTGACACGCTTTATAGCCAATGGTTTCTTGATGTCGGGTCTTGGGTAAGGGCGGGAAAGCTTGGATTTAAATATTCTATATCTGTTTCATAATCTATGCATCGAACTTGCATTTGAATGATCAGACTAGTCTGGATCCTAGCATTCCTTACTTTTGTGGCTAACAATTACTACGTTCACAGCGTTTGAGTCTTGACCTCAAGATAGTTACTAATGGACAGAACTTCCACTGTATGCTCGCCTTGCACTCGACACCCTTTTACACACCAGCTAGCTCCAGCTATAACATGGTGTTTTGATGGTTTACTGAAAAACTCTACAGCCCGTCCAGGAAATGTCTACCGATTTTCATTGCCGCACCATAAATTGCGGCACATTACGCGCCCTGAGAAAACACCGAGGAATTCTAACGGCGCTGCATGTTTCTCCGCGACGAGGCGCAGACTATCCACTTGTGAACGATCGATACATCCTGGTCTGTTTTTCAGGTTAAATGTTTCGTGTTAAACGGGATGCATCTCGGCTCTGTACTAACCGATGTTTACCCGTAGCACTGAAGTAACCGTTACGTACAGGGCCTACTGTGGTCAAAATTGGACATCGCGTCGTCGGACGGACGCACACGTGATGCACAACTGCCGCACAGCTGAGCAGTAAGCTTTCCGTGTGCCCGTATTTGTATCAAACTTACTGTTAAGACACCGTTATAATGGGCACGCCGGTAGACTGAAAACAAGCTTCCAAAGAACCACTGTAGGAAAATAGGCACCACTTTCAACTAGGCCTTTCACATTAGGAATGATAACGATTTGGTAGAGGAGTATTTTCTCACTTTTAGTATTTTGCTTTCCTGTTAAGTGAGCCAAGTCCTATCTAGAATTTCTCTTTCCTAAATAACGTACGATACTTAAAGATTACCCGGTTGTTTCATTTCATTTCAGTGTAGTGGATAAACCATGATCCGGACACCAAAGTGCTAGGGATGCAGTTGCCACGACTCGCATCGCCAGATTGGCAATATGGAACAATGATAACTAAATGCGGTAGGCTTACATATGGTATTAATAGAATGGGACCAAGAACGAGGTGAGTGAAGTTAATCGCATTGAAGTATGAACAGTTAAACGCAAGAGAACGAATGCAGGGACAGCACTGACTTCGACAATGCGCCACGTCCGATAGAGTCTCTAACCATTCGTTTGGACTAGCACCAGGTCCCCATCCACGAAGACGGCACGTACCTGTTTAAGCAAGTCTCGGTCAACTTTTTCATACCCCTATGCCACGTCATAGATTTTACACCTCATGATTTCGCCCAACTCGGTGCAGCGATGGCGTATAATGCTTGCCGAGGAGGTCTACGGAGTACATGACCTAACCAACGTTAGCGATTCTTCAACAGACACTGAAGTGAAGCACTAGGGGGTTTCTTGCCAAAAACCAACTGGCGGACCTGAGCCTTGCTCACCCAGTGTTCTGACCAGATCGAATCACGGAACTGGTGAGCCGACAACTATCTCCACTTCGTCTGCAAACTGAAGTGCCACTTGAGGTAATCTTGATTCCCCATAGAGAGCTGTGATAGCGTGGTAAACAATGAGAACTAATTTGGCTGGTTTAGGTAGGATTCCCATTTCCTAACATATATGTTCCCACTGTTTCAGATCGTCTGATAACTTGCCCATGATTGAGCTTGATTTCGACTCAGGCACATCAAAATATTTTATCTTTAGCGAGTGGTGCTGCTTTTTAGTGTTCACAATTATAAAAAGCGTTGTACTTTCTTTCTCTGGTGGTGTGATAATCGGCTTTCTCTGTGTCGCTGTAGCGTTCGTGCTATTTTTAGCGATCTTCCAGGCGGTTCCCAACGTGACCATTCGGTAAGGTTTGCCTTTGTGCGCAGCGACAATAGACGCGTATGTTGTCAGGTTTTCATCGGCGGCGGATTAGCGTGGATGCATTGGTTCAGTGTATGACAGTTTCATTTCTGGGAATAACCGCTTCAACCATGGTTGGGGTAAACCCGATAGGCTGAGCCAGGCTATTTAGGTATCTGCCTGACCAAGTCTCTCGATCATCTGGGTAGCAGCCCACAAAGGTAGACATGACGGAGCAAAATATAGCTCACATAGGTTGCATAGACTAGGCGGATTGATACGGATCGGTAAGCTGCACTGTACCCAAACGGAGGCCTATGCTATAAGCAAGAAGCTTGGCTTATAATAGCACCATGACCGATAACTAATTTGTCTATAAACGATGCATCGGAGACCCCAATAATCTCTTACTTATGGCTCCAGTGTGGATTGGAGTATATTTGCACCAACGGCACCAATATGTAGGCTCTAATCTACGCGTTGGATATCCCCAAAGTATCACAGCGTTCGGAGTGGCACAGACTGCTGAAGAAGCAGACAGTGCTCATGGAATTAAGTTCGCCCCGACTCATCGTTGGCACCATTCCTCCAGAGACCGATTTTATCTTCGTCATGTGCAATCGATGATACATAAATATACAGAAGCAGGGTTAGACGGACATAAATATCATGGAAGGAGATGTTGCAAGTGTCCACCTGCATTCTGTGAGACTTCCATAGGTTGGTATAAATCATTGTCGGGTGGTTTGCCAGTCTAAATATAGCTGTGTGGATTGGCGCGTCTTCATGAGGAGATGCATGCCATTGTTTCCTGTTCGTCATTCTTGAACTTCCTGGTGCAGGCTGCTGGAAGCTCCCGATCATCGCCAATGAATCTACCAGAGATATGTTTACTTGATGGGTCCAAATACAAACCGTCATGTAAAACGATGGTTTGAAAGCGATTGTCAGCAGCCTTAGCCAATACAACCTGTAGGTAGATGAAGTTTGATTCTACTTCACGCCTAACCCGTGCAGTCTGTAGGTTGATAGTATATGACCAGTGCAGACGAAAGCCGTGTTGCTTCAACGCAATTATAATTTCCATCATCTTTGACATTTCCCTGACGGACTGTAGACGTTGAATGCGTTTATCGATTGACTGGTTTTTTTTTGTTCATCTTCTCCTGTAGATTCTTTTAATACAATATCTTCTCTTGTCTACGTTTCGTTGGCTCATGCTAAACGGTGATGTATCTTTTAGGCTTCGTCTGGATTTATCTCTCGGGAGGAGATTTTGGCTCGCCATCGGCGCGAACAGCGAAAGAAGGAGCAGACTAAATTTCAGAAGAATATCAAGCGCCATTCGCGTGCTAATTTCAAACGCAGTGGTCGGGCATCAATTAACGCAGAATTGACTTTATTTGGCTGAAACTGATGTATTTTCGGTTGCCATGTACAGTGTTTTGCAGTTCGAGACCACTTATTTTGTATATGCTTGCTTTGTTTTGTCTGTCTGCTCCTCTCCACGAGCTTTTTCTATTTTTTGAAATCTCTGTTACCCGAATTTTTAACTTACGGTGTTAGGATTCGACTTCAAAGTGATTCAGCGCTCACTTAGACTTCAACATTTGTCTAGGGTAGCAGTTCGATTTCCTAACTATACTATGTTCTCGAGGGGTAGTGAATCTGGTTGCCTTGCCTCACGTCGTCAATCTGATAATATTAGTAATAATAATTCGGGAATAATTCTGTGTGACATTTGAATGGTCCAATGTAACAACTAAGAGTTCCAACTGTTGGTGCGAATTCAAGAACACCGTTGTCTTGGTGACTGCGTCATAGCCAATAGTACATCCTTTCCGCTGATATGGCCGATCCCGAGTCCCATGCAGAGAGACAATTCGCAGTGACCCTCGTTGCCTTCTTGCTGTTTTTTTTGTTTTTTTGCCACATCGTTCACTAATGGCATCGGGATTTCACTCAACTGGACAAAGTATGTACATGCATTACATGCCGAGATAACCGGCCTGCAATCATGCGGATCATATTTACTGAGAGCCTGTTACCAGATATCAAATGACAAATTTCGGTACTCACACTAATTCCCAGAAATACTCCAAAAACTATCGATGGTTGAAACCTTTCAATCTCCCAACATTTTTAGTGCGTAGCAACTGCGGCTATGATCCATGCAGTATCATTATTCGCACTGAAACTTTCTAGACCTTCTATTATCTAATAATGTTGTATCCCACTACGTACTTAAGTCAGTGGAGCTTTGAAGAGCCACATTGAGCCAATCACTGATTGTGCCTGCCTCTTCAGCGAGGCATCTACTTAGCTATGTTAACCTGTCGACAAATTCGAGCGGTCTATCGGTAGTCATATGAGTTCACTTACAATAGCACAGTCGAAATCTAAGTGAGCGCTCCCAGTTGACCGTCAACAGACTCACGTATTTCATCCATAACTGATAACTGTGTTGTCATTTCTGGTCTAAGGCGGCTTATCTTTCAGTGACTACTCCACAATTCAGCGCATACACGTATGCTGTAAAGCTTTGCTGCTGACGTAGAGGCTGCGATTAGTGCACGGCTGAAGAAACCAACCATCGTCCTCAATTGCTAACCACCGATCTTGAAACAACTGATGCAATTTTCTGGCTCTGACAAGTGACAGTCTTCGTCCAGAAGTTGTTGCTCGAGAGAAACAGTGTTCTTCGCACATGCGAAATCTGTCTCCGTTGTTTAAGCGTGATGGTCACCAAGAATATGTGCACATAGTAATAGGCGACCGATCTGTGAGTTGAACTCTTCACCAGGAACAACGGTATCGGATTCGCAAATTCGGCTCAGGAGTTGTTGAAGTTTCCGACAAAAATCTTCATTGACTTTGTCACAGTTGCAATCGGTTAGAAAGTACGCGGTCACAAACAAGTTGCATCTTTCCTCGCTGTGCCTGTTGATCCTCCATGGGTTTCGGGGTCGAACTGCACACAGTCAGTTGTTAATTGAAAACCAGTCCGGCAATGCGGTCTCTGCTTAGTGCCACACCAAACCCAACTCAACCTGCTGCTATTTCTGTCTCACCTGATATATTTAGATAAAATGTGGCTCCTTGGTCGGTGGTATATGTCTATTTACTTACAGTACTGGGCTCCTGCAATTGGGTTTCGGGTACACAGCAAACGTAAAGGACAAGGGGCTGTAAGGTGCTCGCAAGACAATTTTTTGCGCGATCGGGTAGTGCATTGAAGCATACTGGACTGAACTAGGATAAAGACTGAAGGAGCTCTACTGGCGTTGGCAAAACCCTCAGGAGTAGATTTATGGAAACAGGATTCGACAGATACCGGAAAACAGTGATTGCATGCATGCTGGAAGCATTAACAGTCAAGCGGAGTATAGCATTTGGGAAGTCTCTTGCTTCCTCATAAGGCATGCTTCTACCCGGTTACCTCTTGCCGAAGTAGAGAGTTGACTTAGGCGGCACCACACCTGACCTTTGGCAAAATGTTCGCCCTACAACGGAAAGTCACGTCCATTAGGAGCCGGTGACTGATTTAACAGTTCATACGCCTTTCTTTTTTTGAGTTGCCAGATAGGGACCCAACCCTTACGGTGGTACCAGCCTACACTTTCTGAATTACAATCTTCCATCAGCGTGATGTTGCGTAGCATCGCAGTGTTGTTAAACAGACATTTTGCGCTTGTCATAGAACGTATACCAGGCGAAAATCATGATTTTCTTGAAGCACTGCTGCTGAACAATTTACGGGAACGGGATAGCCCGGAACCACCAGACTGGCGTGATTGTTCATGTATTTTGACTATATTATTTGGTTTTTCTGCGCCCACACTAGAGTGCATGTGCTTTCTGCTCAAATGAACCTTGTTGACCGTGGGCTGTGCTCCCCCACAGTCAACAGACAAACCGTGGTGTCGGTACTGTACACCAATGGAGCTGAACCTTTGACCCATTGCGTTCCAAGTATATTTTCAAGTAGAAAGACCATCAACTTCTCTATCTCCAGTGAGAAGGAAATCTAGGGTATATTGTACTATTCTTGTCTCTGAAGTCACTTAGCATGCGCCACTCAGGTTATCTCTGTAGATTCCAGGACATGCCAACCGTCTCACCGCCTTATGGACAGGTGGCTGTGAAACGTTTCGGGGCATCATCAACACCAGCAAAATAGTTTGTACTTACGTTGCACTGCTATACAAACACTATGAATTCGAGCGTAGGAACATAAGAGTGAGGAGAAGAAGGATCTAGTGCAAAATCGAAATGAGCTAGGCAAATATTTATGGTCACAATTTCAACACTGCCAACATGGTACGGTCACAAACAGCTGGATATCCTGTTAAGGTAAGGCGACTTTAACTGCCTTTCCTCTTGGTCAGCCATTATCCTACAGATAAGTTAATGCCACAAGGCTGGCACGAACCTGCCAGACTCACCCGGGTTTTACTGGCACCAGTACACTATGGAGCCCGAACAACACGGTCGCTCTGCAGACGTTTAAACAACTCAATTCATAGCGGAGCTCTCCCTACGGAAACTGCCGCCAAGGGTCCACTCATTCGCGCAGATCACAACGGAGTTGTCCTCAGTGAGAACGCGGCCAACTTATCCCGCATAGTTTCCACTGAACTTGCCCCAGTCTCCCCGTCGTATCTCATGTACCCTCCTCAAGTCAACGGTCTGGTTTCTGAGTTGTATTCATGCCAATGCCTTAGCCACCGAGTAGACTCAGCAACTGCGATGTGCCTCGCGTCTCAACAGCTTCGAACCCGCCCATTTGCGCCTGGAGATAGGACTACTACATGGCAACTGGTGTCAACAAACGCACGCCTTCCCTCATAGTTTGTACAATTACTACTGTTTTAGTGAACTATAAATATGAAGATGTAGAAAGCACGGTTGTCTTGATTAAGTTAGTAAACGCACTCTTACTATTCGCCAGTCTTCTTTCTGGGGGTCTCGGTGCACTTATGCGGGGTTTACGCGTTCCGTCTGTCTTATCGATTACGAGTTCATGTCTGCCGGCTAAGTCCACTAGCCCTTCCAATTCGAATCGTCTAAGGTACTTTGCGTGTGGGGACCAACGAGTGAAGGAGTTGGTCCATTCCGTTTAGGATAGTCGAAATCCAACCTGGACCTTTCTAACACTTAACATCAGACTATTTATACAAGCACTTCGACTAGGAGAGAACAGTGAACGCGAGTCATGTCCCTTAATGTTTAGAACCAAGCACAATATGTATCGTGTGGACTCCAGGCTGCAAGACGAAATTTATGAACAGCACCAAGTTTAGTCGTCAATGACTTCATTTCCCTCTACCAAGTCAACTCGAGGCTTGAGATATCTTACATTCGACAAACAAAACGGTGCTCTCTAAGGCAATCGGTGACCGGGCATGTATCCAAGCTAGCGTAGCCCATTGCAGTTTTATTTGCTGTTCTAGAGAGCTATGACTATCCCTGTCTACTACTTTCCTACGCATATCGTCGTTGCGAATACAATGATACCATCCAACACCAGCAATACTTCGCGGATGACGTTGGTCAAGAACTTGAGATGGCATCAGACCGATGAAACGAAATCCCATTTCCACAAAGTAGCGGCTCTCGTCATGGCTCTATAAACACGGCATATGAGACCGAGGGAGACATCAGTGTACGGCACCAACACTTCTATGCCATGCGCCCACCGTCAGTCGCGCGCGCACTACCGATACTACAAGATCGCAGCACCTACGCAGATTCGGACTGGTGACCTTTAGGTTACAAGGCAGACGCCCCATATCTTCGGCGACCGAACGATGCGGACCTCTTTCTAGCACCGTCGTAGTGCGTACCATGCTGCGGTCACCGTTCTCACCTGATAGCTGCTGACAGTTCATGATCCCTTTTATTGGACTCCGGGTGAATGGCTCATTTCAACATGTCACTCTTGACCCGAGCATCACGCCATTTACGCTTGTTCGCCTAGTCACTAACTCCGCTTGACGTTGTGGCAATTGAAATCCTAAACCCCATACAGATTTGTTCATTCCGAAGTTTATTGGGGCATCTACGGAATATCGTGGTGGATGGAAAGCAACTATTTGCTGCAAGATCGTCGGTGGCTTTTTAACTTCGATATTTGTTACCAGGCTTCCGGCAACTTATTTAACCGATCCCTAGCTCTCCATCCAAGAGGGCAATACGCACCCAACTGACGCAAGTTCTCGGTTGGTTTCTTTTTACGGCTTTATCGTTGGCAGTGATGCGCCCATCCACAAAAAGAACAGCGCAACTTTAAAAGTGTCTCAATCTTACTCCGTCATTGAAATAAAGAGCACGTTACCCACCCTAGTAGTTGTGCATGTCGAACTGTTCATACTGGCATCTGTTTGCTTTCTTTCGCAATGCACTGTGTTGAGTCGGGTGCCAACTTCCAGAGGTCGGGATTATGAACCCAAGTGCACTCCGTCTCTTTATCCTTCGTATTTGACGTTGAGGGAGGTTGATGACCTTTTTTCTTCCTATTCGCTCATCTCGATTGGTTTCAACTTGTAGCATCTTTAAGGACCTCTGATAGTTAGGAAGCATGTTCGCTGATCATGGCTTTGGTAATCGCTGTGATACGGCTCCGCTCAACAGCACTTGCGGCTGAGCGTAATCGTAGGTGCATCATCTAGTTCGGTTTGACATGCG